ATGGGGCCTCCCTGGTGGCGCAGTGGTTGAGAGTCCGCCTGCCGATGCAGGGGATATGGGTTCGTGCCCCGGTCCGGGAGGATCCCGCGTGCCGCGGAGCGGCTGGGCCCGTGAGCCATGGCCGCTGAGCCTGCGCGTCCGGCAACGGGAAAGGCCACGACAGTGAGAGGCCCACATATCGCCAAAAAAAAAAAAAAAATGTAACAATGTATTCTTAGCTCACAGGCCCTCCAAACACAGGCCGCTTTTGGCCGGTAACCCCAGTGCATGCCCTCTTTGAGGTGAAGGCCAGGTAAATGAGGTTTTGTAAGGACAGACAAATTAAAATTAAGGAAAATAATTTTATTTATTTTTAAAATTAATTTTTACTGGAGTAGAGTTGCTTTACACTGTTGTGTGAGTTTCTACTGTACAGCCAAGTGTATCAGTTACACATATACACCTATCCCCTCTTTTTTGGATTTCCTTCCCATTCGGGTCACCGCAGAGCACTGAGTACAGTTCCCTGTGCCTGTACAGCAGATTCTCCTTAGTTACCTATTTTATACATAGTAGTGTGTATAGATGTCCATCCCAATCGCCCAGTTCATCCCACCCACCCCCACCCCACCTTGGTAACCATACGTTTGTTCTCTACATCTTGTGACTCTGTTTTTACTTGGCAAATAAGTTCATCTGTACCATTTTTCTAGATTCAGCATGTAAGTGATATTATATGATATTTGTTTTTCTTTATTTAGAGAGAAACACACACCACAGACAGAGTGTGGGCCATCTCAGAAGGTGGGAGGCCAAGAAAGATAATTTAAACTCTCTCTTCTGTGACATTAGGGCAAGTATGACCTCGCTCCAAGTTGCAAATGTACCTACTGGCACTAAAGCGGGGAGACGTGTGTTTTTTTTCTCCGGAGAGAGGCAACTGGTTAACGTAGATGGGGCCCCGATAAACCGGGGGGTTTAGGACAAACCCTGCGCGGCCCACGGGGCAGTCAAGATCTGTTGCTTCAGGAAATAGTGATTGTTTATCCCGACAACGAGGCTGGGCTTGGTCGTGCCCTCCGGGCTGCGCGAGAAGGTGGGACTTTTCCGGTCCCTGCCAGGTCTCAGCCTGTGATGCGCGTCCCTTCCTGGGTTTGGGCTCCTTCAGTGATAAAGCTGTGCTCTCCCCCTCCAGTCATTGTGGGAAGGTTTTCTGGGTTCGCAGGAGGCTTGGGGTTAATTATATTTCCCCAACAGCGTGAGGCTGAGAATCTGCTCACTATGGCATCATGCTACGTGGATCCCTCAATGTCATAAATGACCTCCACCCCGTTCTGGGGACCCCTCTGCACATCCCCACGGGCACTGACTGACTGGGCCATACCCGCCCGGCAGGGTCTTTGGGTGTTTGCCGTAACTGCTCAGAGAGCAATGCTTTCTTTGTTTCGCTGAGTGCCAACTCGGAACTCCGGGCAACAGTCCCCAGGTGCGCACAGGGGATATGCCGTCACAGCTGTGTGACTTTGGGCAGCCTGCTTGCCCTCTCTGGGCCGCATCTGTGAAATGGGATTGAAGACAGTCCTTGCTCCATGGGGTTGTGGGAATTCCAGGGAGGCCCACAAAGTCCCTGAACAGAGCCCCAAGGCTTGGGGAGGGGAGGGGAGGGGCGGAAGGGGAGGGGCTTGTGCAGAGAGTTTTGTCTGTACTGGGTCTGGAGGGACCAGGATGGGGTGGGGACGGAAGAGCCCGGAATAAAACCAGGATCTTCCTGACTTTCTCAGAGCCCTGAGGATGCACTTTCCTGCCTCACGCCAGCACACTGATTCCTCCTCAGGGCTGCACTGGAGACCCCAGTGCTCTGGGGGCTGAGGCCTCCCTGGGATGGAGAAGCTGGGGTGCTGCGGGAAGGCC